CCCCAAAACCCCAAAACCCCAAAACCCCAAAACCCCAAAGTGTGGTTAAATATTGAAAATTGTTTTAAAATTATTAACAGAGTTTTAATGGAGGATTCTTGGTATTATTTTTCTTTATCTATAACCTTCATCATCTGATCTTCGAAATTCTCAATAGAATCTTTGGAGTTAGTTTCAAAATCAGAAGCATCAGAGAAACTTCCTTCTGATTTTTTCTTGAGCTGAGACTTTTTCTTGGTAGATAACTTATGAGTCTCAATTAATTTATGGAGAGTTGAGTTTGTCTTCAATTTCTCTTTCTTTTCTACTTCTTCAGTCTTATCCTTTTTACTATGAGATTAATTAGCAAGTCTACCTAAGTTCGTCTTTGTAGGTTTTGTTCCAATTTTTGGGGGTTATGTACCATTTTGCACCATACTTAGGCTTCAAGCTTTGATCGATTATATCTAAGAAGTCAACTTAACTACCTTACTCTTTTTCAATACTTTCTTCTTTTCTTTCTTAGGCTGGAGAACTCTTTGAATAATCTTATTAGGATTTTCGATATCGAAAAAGAACATGCCAGTTTTAGGGTCTTGTGCTTGATTTATAGCAGAGACTATGTCATCCTCTTCAGAAGTAACGCTATGATCTCTGATCGTACTCATTCTTGACTGCTTGCCATTACCCATCTCTTGGATAATACTCTGGTATTTTTTAAACACTAAATATTATACTAAGTGAGTCACTTATGTTTTTGGGAATTTGCACTCTAAACTTATTTTGGTTTCCCTTCTTGATAGTAAATTCAGAACCCTTCTTCTCTAATTTAACACCTTCCTGGATTTTTGACATCCCAACACTCCTCATTTTGTTCATGAAAATACTTCTTTTCTTCTGTGCACTGAGTCTTTGAGGGACTTTACGAGTTGACTTTACAAGTCAAGAACTTTTCTTTAAAGGGACTTCCTTCTGACAAGGAGAAGCAGATCTCTGAATGCCGTTCCTTAAAAGCCCGACTAGACTCACCTTTTTAGATTGTGACTTCCTAGGATGCTTGTTTGGTTTCACCGTGAGGTTATGATTTTTACTGGAAACACCAATATGAAGATTCTCTGAATCAGATCCTGAACTTGAACTTGATTCTGAGCTTGGCTCTGACCTACAGAATAGTGAAAAATGTTTTACTCATCAACTATTTCTAAATCCTTCGACCTTCCCATACTCACTGGAGGTTCTTCCTTTGCTTCTCAGTGAGTTATCTTCAGTGATATTATAGAAGATCTTCATGAAAGAGAGTCTCTATTGCTTGAAACAGAGGAGTCTTCAAAATTTCTATAGAGAATGAGAAAAGAAACTCTAAAATACCTTGAGCCTCTGAAAGATCGAGAGAGCTTTTTCTTTAATCCTCCTTTTGGTCTAGAATGTTAGATCATTTTCATTACTTTTCAGGTTCTTTCTCTGTATCAGATAATTTTGGAGCAGTTACTTTTATCGGAGAAAAAGAATAATCCTGGCTCTCCCTTGAGCCAACTGATTGTCTTGAGGCAAAGGTTTTCAGTTTTGGGATAGGTTGGATTACTCTTGATGAATGCTGGAAATGAGAAATTCTATGTTTATGTGGGCTAACACTTGAGGCTGAAGGTGGCAGAAGACCAGAGAATTGTTTCACAGGAGATATATGTCTCAATCCTGATCTGAAAGTACTATTGAAGATTATTTTCAAATTCTTACTTCATCTTTTTAGTGCCTCTTCTCTGAAGTTGTTCAATCCTTGTTTTCATTTTCTTTAGTTGGGATTTATTACTACTGAAATCATTGAGAAAATTGAAGAAGACTTCTTCATTTTGTCTAACTACCATTGTTTCAAATATCTTTCCTCCTCCCTCAACTTCATACTTAACATTCTTGCCTCCATCAGTTTCCTCGATATGGAATGTGATCGGTTTAACTTTTTGATTTTGTATCATTTCCTCATTTCTCACTTCATCAATATCTGGATTGAAGAGGATTTCATAAGGAATAGTACTTTCTTTAACAGGATAAGTGGTCTTTTTCTTCATATTACGGTAGGTACTCCATGCTTTCTTATCTTTTCTTAGACTGATCTTCTCATAAGTCCTACTTATTAGACAGAGTTCCTTACTCAATTTTCAGAGGATTATTTTGTGCTTTTGGTTTTATGTTAGTCCTTGACAATACATCTTGTATCATGTGGTTTATGGACTGTTGGGAATTTGGAGAAAAGTTTTTAATACTCCCAATCTTCAACTTCGCTCATTTATATTTACACCTCCTCTTTGCTAGGTTCAGAGCTTTAACCACATTCGGTTTATCAGAAGGAACATGAATCTTCTTATCAAAATTGTTCATGTTTGTGTTAACATTTGTGCTCATATCCATGTTTGTAAAAACACTAGGTACTTCACTGATGTTTTTCTTAACTGGCTTTTTCCTTCGGGCTACGATGGGTAAGCAATGAAAACATCAAAAAATTTACTTTGAGTTACAGAAAACTTGCTGTTTTTCTTTGAATTTACTGGGCAATCTGAAGAAGAATCTGAAGAATTCTCAAGTTTCATTGCGGTTTCTGATATCCTTTTGTTAACATTATAATTAATGACACTCAGGTTGGTTTCTCTTTCAGAAAATCAATCAATATGTTGGAGTTTCACATCTATAATAATCATTTATAAAATAGATAAGCTAAGCATACCTGTTAATTGAGTTTTCCAGTGATCTATCTTCGCTTTTTCGATTGTATGGTTTATCACTAACAAAATTATAATATGAAAAATATGAGCATGAGAGAATAAAACTGGTTCAAACAAGCTTACTCTGTATTTTATTTGCTCTGGACTCCTTCCATTTCCAAGGAGATATATTTCTTTCTGTGCTTGGATCTCTGGACACCCTTATCGGTCTATTAATTAGAGGGTTAGAAAAAGTTATCGTTTTTAATAAAACTCTCTAATTGGCATAACTTATGAATTTTTCTAATAATTACCTAATTCTTGAGCGCATGTTTGATAGGATTTTTCTTTTCCTTCAAACGCCTCCGGACCTGAAACCTCTGTCCAGAAATGACCTATTCACCGGGACTGATTTTAGCACTCTTTCTCTTGCTTCTGTCCTATAAGACTTCAGTTTTACTTAATGACCGATTCTAAAAATTTAACATCTACCAAAAATAAGAGGTTTTTAAAATTAGATGGAAAATATACAAGTTTTGCTTAAACTTGGTAGCACCAATAAGATATAAGCCTATGGTTTTAAAAATTACTATAAGCATTACTACTTGTGATCAAAATACTGGAAGCTGTAATTGAGTTTTATTAAGAGGTAGATATAAAGTGACCTCCTAGAATTGAGCTTTGGATAAGCAGCCCAGATTAGAAAAAAATTTGGACAATTTATAATAATATAACCATTTAGACCAGATCCTACAGACTCTAGCTCTGTTCAGTAAGCTATTACTCTATGAATAGAAGAAATTGGTAGAGATATATTCTTTTGATTGAAATAAAACTCTAATTTACTCAGAAATAAATAATACAAAACTGGAAAGTAATGATATGAGCTTTCGTTTCTCTGAGGCAAAGAGCTTAACCAATCAGGAGTGAATCTATTGAATCAGCTGTTTTGCAGAGAGGGTTTTAAAAGATACTTACAAATAGTTATTTCTAGTCCGTCTGCATCTGAGATTTGCCTTCGGTAAAATATTTTTGCTCATATTGCTACTAATGTAGAAATAATATTCAATAAAAATAACACATCGAGGGGTTTTGGGGTTTTGGGGTTTTGGGGTTTTGGGG